TATGAGTCCTGTGCTTCCCGCAAATGTGGCAGGCTCAGGGTAGTTGACCATATAATATGACAGCTTGCGGCTCAGTGCAAGCGCTCCAGTGGGCAAGGCAGAAGCCTCACTGTGTGTTATGACTCAGCCTTGGTGGTCACATAGTATCGCCTCCATCATATTTTATTGTTTGAAGTAGTTACCTGTCTATCCAGGTTTCCATGCAGGCAATATAAACCTCACACCTTGATGGGGGCATGTAGAAGATGATGTCACAGGAGCAAGGAGCTTCATCTGCTCCTCACTCCCAGTCACATGTACAAGGTAGAAGGATGCTGAGCCACTGAGGTGTTCCCAGGCTGCCCATGAATGTGGTGTTATGCTAGATTTGTGGGACCCCAGTAGACCTCCAGGAGCCAAATCTGATGCAATCACACAAGAGTCTTTATTGCAAGCTCGAGCCTGGACTCACAACTGTTCCCCATGCAGTGGTCCCAGTGAGTGAGTCCCGGTCCTTTGTTCAGTGAGATTTTATAGGTTTTGGGGGATACTCTATGCATCACAACATCACACAGCAAATCATTCCATACCGCAGGAAAATCAAACAACAACTCCTAACATTGATTAGCACATTCAATGGTGGGAAAAATTTGGGTAGGGGTGATTGGTTAGTACAAGAGGGGGATTCCTTTGAACTGATTGGTTTAGGCCACAAGGGATGTATGTGCTAAACTACATGGTTTCCCAACATGTTATCAACTACCATAAACTACTGGGGGGTCATCTGCCATTCCAGGTATTTTCCCTGTCTAATGCTAATTGAAGGTTGCTAGGGAGGTTGCTATGGGTCATCACCTAGCCTAACTGAGTCAGGGACACCTGAAACCTCAGACCTCTCCTGTTATTTACAGACGAACAACTCAGCAGGGTGGGTATATGCTTAGGAGTGCTCTGTGGGTTTTTCCAAGGACCAGGATCACGCTCCCTTCCTTGGACAGGCTTTGCTCTGAGGTAGAGGCTGGTTTCTCAAAAATGGAGTCACATTAGTTTCTCAGTGGAAGGCTCTACATGAAGGCCAGGACCACAGACAACTAGGTATATTGACACCCCAAGACCCATCCAAGCTGCAATTGAACCTTTGTTCTATTTGTTTTTCTATATTTGCATCCTGAACACACCCTTCTTTCCATTTCTCCTTCTGATATCATCAAAATATTTCAGTCTGATTTTGCAGGACTTAAACATCTTTTGTACAACTTTATATTCATTCCACAAATACCTTTGAAGAATTCCCATTTGTGATTAAAATATTTCATATCATCTTAACTCTCTAGAGATTCTGATCAGATTAAAATTGATATGTTTAGGACTTGTGACAGGTCAGGAAGGAAATTCTTTTTCCTATCACATAACATAAAGGTAGCCTTAGTTAATTTCAATGCTTTCCTAAAACCAGGCTTTTCTTTGAGATTGGTATAATCATTAAATTATGCATGAACATTTGTGGGATGGTGACAACATAGGTCTGAGCAATATCAATATCCAATTTATAACTTAAGTTGAACCTTTAGTCCACTCTGAGGGACCTACTACTGCCCACATTTCACATTTGTGAAAATGAGGCACAAGAGGAAAAAGCAAAAATTGTAGCCCAGACAGCCTGTCTTCCAGAGTCTTCAGTGTTAACAAGGAATTATCAATAAATCAAACCTTTTACCATTTTTAGAGTTTAATTGCCATTTGTATGACCATGGGCTTGATAAGCACATAGCATTTTGAACTGAAATAGCACATGGCCCACGATAGGGGCTGCCTTCTTACCAGCTCTTCAAGAGATACTTGGAAACATTTTGCTATGGACAAAAATTTGTTAATGGAGCCATGTTCCTATAAGACTAAAGTTTTAAAAATTTGAACTTTCAAACTTGGAGTTATTTAAAATGCTTCCATCCCAAATCAGTATCAAAATGTGACAAAAACTAAAATTCTTATAGCTATATTTTACATATTGAGAGAAATTTGGGGGATAAAGTTTATTGGAGAAAGTCTATGTTTTAAGAACATGATACATATATATATATAAATCTGGACACAAATAACACATATGGTTAAAACAACCTGATAAAGTATCTTTACTTTAAAACTTTTCTTGGTTCAAGGTAAAAAAGGCAAACTATTAAAATGACACATGGCAAATTTTTTTGTTTTTAAGGCATCAATTTCTTCCCACTAAAGGGAGGGCAGGAAGAAGGTGCCAGAGCAGCTCTGGGAGTCGAGAGCTACAGAGACGCCAGGCATGGAAGGTGCATGAAGCCTCATATAACTTGAGCATTTCTTACTTTTTGTGTGCACTTCAATTTACAAAATTCAGTGTCAAGAGAGCCCAGAGATAAGAGCAATTCTGCATGGGTGCACTATGCTTTTATGTAAGTATCATCCTTGAGATTGCACATCTCTGCTCCCCAAATCCCATGTGTTCACTCTCCATGAACTTCAGCTGCCACCAGGAGGAGCTGTTGGGTGGGGAAGCTGCATGGCATGTGGTGAAGTGCCCAGCCACAGCTGCATGCAGGCCTGTCCCTTCCCACTGGCCTAGCTCTTGCTTCCCTGAACATGGAATTATGGAGATGAAGCCATAGAACACTCTGGATTCTCCAGTGCCTTGCCAGAGATGTGTATTCTCCAACAGCTGCAACCCACCCTCCCCACACTCTCCAGGGAGGGCCTGAAGACCGAAAAGGATTCCTTCCTGCCAAAGAGACCAACTCAAAGTGTATCAAATATACACTGGCTCAAGGGGAGAGTTTCTGTCTATACTTCGCCAAGGGAAGCAAGTCCCCAACTACATTGGCTTAAGGCAAGTGTGTCCCCATCTACACTGGCTTAAGGTGAGCAAGTACATACAGTGAGCAGTAGAGGGAGGCACAGTGGTCTAGGCTGCTGGGCTCCAGCCCTTGCCCTGGTGCCAATTTCCGAAAAGAAAAAAGACTGCCTTTTTAAAATCTTCAAAACTTCAATTTTATTATACAATTTGTGTAAAAAATAAATTAAGAATAAATTTCCTACAAAGCATGGAAGAAAGAGCAGGATGGGCAGGGTCAGGGGTTGAGGGCATGGGAGTGTTCTAGGGAATGTCTCTATGATGTGTTTTGCAGGTGGGGGCTGAAGAGACTCCTCGTGGATGCAGATGTGCTCCTGCCTGGATTCTGTGCAAAGAAGCTTGAGCCAGTCAGCACACCTCACTACTACACCATGATGTCATCATCCACAAAGCTCAGGGTCTTCTGGCTGGCTGTCAGTTCTGTCAATGTGGGCATGGCATTTCCATTGGAGCCTCTCTGTTCCTGGACACTGGCCGAGGGAAGCATGGTATACAGCAGAGTTTTTGCATGCATTTGGTGATGCTCCTCCTCAGTCTCTTCCAACCCCTGCTTCTGTGGTGGGATTGCCCTGTGGAGGTACCTTAGGAAGATGAGCTCTCCTGGGCTCAGGATTATGCAGGGAGGTTAGGCTGGGAAGGCGTGTGTCCCTGTTGAGGAAGCTGAGAGGAATAACAGGCATGCTGGCAATTCCAGCAGCCTTCTGCAAGGACTGCTTGGCTGCCTCATGCTGCAGCCTCTCGAGGGGCAAGGGAAGAGCAGGCTCACTAGAATACTTCCAGGGCAGAGCCAGGGAGGATCTGCTGGGCCCAGGTGATGCACAGGCTTCAAAACTGGAACCCAAAGCCTGCCCCCTGGGTTCTCTGGTGCTCCAGTATGAGGTATGTGGCCATCGTTTCGTCCTTGAATCTTCGACGTGGTACGGACACTCAGGTACTATAGGGATGGTAACCCATGTCCACCATGATTTTCAAAATTTTGGGATCCGGGAGTTAGAAGACAGCCTCACTCGAAGGACTGGGTGTGAAGCTTCCTCTCCCTGGCTTAGCCATGGGTACTCCATTATCTGCTCTAAGGTGGGCCTCTGTGTGGGGTTCACCGTCAGGATCTCATTGATGAGGCTCTGTGTTCCCTCAGAAACATGTGGGGGAATGTCATACATTCCCTGCGTGATCAGCTTCTTCAGCTGCTTATTGCTGGTTGCCACAAATGGGCATCTCCCTGTGAGCATAAAATAGAGAATGACGTCCAGGCTCCAGATGTCTGGGGGTTGAGGGGAGGCATTGAATTCCTTCCAATGGACAACTTTAGAGGCAACTTAGAGGAGAGTACCCCAGAACCTGTTCAGCTTCTTCCCAGCTGTGAATCTGGTGCTCAGGCCAAAGTCGATGAGTTTGACGTTGCTGCTGGCATCCACCACCACGTTCTCTGGCTTCAAATCAAGGTGCATGATATGCATCTTGTGGCAGTACTGCACCACATGCACGATCCACCTGAAAAGTCTGTGGGCTCCTCCTTCCGCATGACATCAGGTTCCGGGATGAGGTCCCATAGCTGTCCCCCCTCTGCATGTTCCATGATAAGGTAGATATATTCCATGGTCTCAATGACCTAGAAGAGCTGCATCACGTTCCGGTGGTCCAAGGCTGCCATCATCACCGGTTCAGAAAGAAAGGGGAAGTTCTCGACCTCTTTTGCCAAAACCTTCAACCACAACCTCTATCACCTGGGCAAAGCCTCCCTCCTCAATGTCCTGCAGGACCATATAATGGTCCGTGAGGTGGGCTCATAGCAGGAGCCTCGCCCCTAAGGCACTACACTACTCTGACTACGCTCTCTATGCATCTTAAGCTGGAATGAGGATGCTAGCTAAAATAATAATAATAATAATAAACCAAAACCAAAAAAACCCAAAAAGCAAAAGCAAAAAAATATATTTTAAAAACCCAAATCAAAAACCAATATCCAAAGACCACAACCACCAGCCACCAACCACCACCAAATGCACTAACTATCTGGGAGTCTGACAGGTCACCACCAATAGCTTCCTGTACAACAGACCCAGCTGCAGCTACCCTCTTAAATAACTACTGTTTGAAATTCCCTCACAATGGCTCCTTCTGAGCTCAAAGCACGAAATGACCCAGTCAACCCTGGGCATGACTCCCAGTGGTCATCTCACTTTGGGGCTTCCAAGAACTTTTCCACTTTCATGACAAGAAGAAAAAACTCTGGAAGATTTTTTCCTTTAGTACATTATGGTGACCCATATTTACTTGTTTAGGAATTAAAATTTGCAGGATACTTCAGCAGTCTTCTCATTTCAAATCTGAAAATCCGTAATATCTTTGTGGCTTTGAAAGACCTCATCATAGCTACACTCAAGGTTTCTGCTTTGCTGCCCTGAACTGAACAGTTTTCCTCCCCTGGGCCCTTGCCCCATGATGGACTGACTGCCTTACCTTGGGCAGAGCAGTAGAGTCAGCTATCTATGAACTGAGACCTCTGGAACTATTAGTCCCAGAGAAGCTTTTTCTCCTCCAAGTGGGATCTGGGAGTTTGAAGAATGCCTCACTTGTTCTTGTTGGGTGTTTTGCTCACAGAGACAAAAGAAATCTAATTAAAACACAGCGCCCACCTTGACAAATGGACATGTGTGTGTGTGTGTGGGGGGGGTGTGCTGGGAACTGGACCAGGTCCTTGCACATGCTGGAGAAGTTCTCTTAATGTGCACATTCCCATCCCTGGGGTTGGGGGTTCCTGGCCTAACCAGCTCTCAATATATTGAGGCTGAACTGTCAACAGGAATTTTGGAGGGATTCACACATTCAAGCCACAGCATGTGACAAGAGCTGAGGCAGTTGGTCCCCACTAGATGTGCCCTGTGTGAGGGGAGTCCTTCAGGTTACATGAAAGGACATTAAATAGGAGTTTAGATTTTAATGAAGATAGAAAATTTCTGGGAAAGCAAATTTATGACAATTATAAAAGCTAGGGTTACTTTTGTGTTCTATATGATGTAAGAGAATAATATATCAAAACACAATTTTATCCTATGATATTGAGTAAATCAGTAACTGAGGGGGAGGGGTTGGAAACAGCAACCACATTCTGTACACTGCTGAATTCATGTTGGTATAGATTCACATCAGAGTGGCATCTCTCATGTGAAATGGAACCTCATGTGAATCATAAAAAATGACTGTAGAACACACCCAAGATGAGACGTAAGGAATTAAAATGTTTCACTACAATCATCAAGTAGGAGGGAAGATGATCATATAACAAAGCAAGTTATATTGAATCAAAGCTTGTGCTGTCTCCTTAGAAGAAAATAAGGCACAGTGAGCCAAGGGCCCAGCCTGTTGTCCTTATGAGGACACAAACCACACAGTGTTCTAAGGCTTTCTAACAACAGTGAAATGAGGAAAAGAGTTTGCTGTAATACACCTATGTCCTGCTAGGAATTATTCTACTTGCAATGTGGTCGTTTCTGGCCAAATCACTTCAAGTTTAAAGTTGACCAAATGCTTTTCCCATCCTAGAGCAATTTAGAATCCAGTACACTAGTTTTCTAATTGTTAAAACCTAATCATAGAAAGTCCTGTTGAAAGTAGCTTAGGTTCATAATCAGGTAATTGAAGCATTTTTATTTGTGTTCTAAAAAAATATTTAAAGTAGGAAAATTCTTTTTTGAATCAAATTGGATTGCATATCTCTAATTTGATATTAGTAGTCACAGGGAGTCTTCTACCATATTTAAAAAAAAATAGTTTGGGAAACAGTAAAGCTCATTGGTACAGCACCTGCCTAGCATGTGCAAGACCCTGCATTTGATTCCAACTGTGGAAAAAATAGTTTTAAAAATCCTTTCATAATCCTACTATAGAATCATGAAAAATTTTTTAAAATCAAAAGCATCCACCTTCCAATTATGCATCTAAATATTTCACTTATTGTTATATGTGTTATCATCACAGATCAGTAAGTTATCCTTTATTACTCTAAAAGTTTGCCTTTTATTACCAACTATATGCTGTGTTTCCAAAAAACCCAACTTACCACATAAGATAGTAATGATTCTTAGTACTTTCTTCCAATTCTACCATCTCTCACTTTTATTTTTATTTACTCTTTTTAGAAGAATTCTCACTTTTATGTAAGATGAGAACCAGAGCAAGTAAACAAGAGAAATGGGTTAGTGGTTCAGTCTCTCTCTCCCCCCACCCCCCTGCCGCCTTTGGAACCAAATATGATTTAATCCAGGGGCGCTTTACCACTGAGCCACATCCCCAGCCCTTCCCTTTTTTTTTTTTATTTTTTTAATTTTGAGATAGGATCTTGCTAAACTGCTCATGGCCTAAGTTGCTGAAGATGGTCTCAAATTTGTGATCCTCCTGCCTCAGCCTCCTAAGTTGCTGGGATTACAGGCATGTGCCACTGCACCTGGCTCCATTTCTTTATAACAGATGAGAACTAAAGGAAACATGCTGGTTTTATGATTCTTACTTCATGAGTAATAACTGGCCTCACCAGCATATGTTTTTCTGGTTCTAATCTGACCATGCTCCTCGACCTTTGAACTGTTCCTGGCTTCAACTTTCTTATTTGGAAATAAAGAAACTGAAATGTTTTTCAAGTATATTTTGTGAATACATAAGTTACAGACACTGACTTCTGAACATGTGGGAAATACACAAAAATAGCTCATAATCTTATCACCCAGATAGAGCCACTGGGAACATTTTGATATAGTTTAGAAAGAAGAAAATAGTCAAGAAAATACATGCATATGCAAATTTGAAGTAGAATATAGCCATATACACACATATATATATAAACAAATTGAATACTTTTTACTTTATGAAAATCAATAAAAATGAGATATGCTTGATTTTGAGGAAAATATAAATTATAACTATCAGAAGAATAAACAGCAGAAATCCTAAGTAGGCTTATAATGAGAAAAAAACAA